TTAAGTGGGCAAGTCCACTTAAACGCCGCTCAGACCGCCACATACCGGCGGTGCGCTGTCACTAGGAATCCCATTCAACAGCAGCCACTGGCCTGGCTGCCTCTTTGCGGTTTTCCGCTACTGTTCACGGTGGCTGGAAAGCGTTTTTCACATATGCAATCCAAACTGCAGGCACCAGAATAATAAAAGCGAACGTATTTGACCGACAGGTTTTGATATTTTAAGTTAATTTAGCCATTAATAAACTGTTTCAAGGGAGTGAGCATAGCGATTTGCATCAGCAGTGCTGTGTCTGTCTCCCTGCCAGCTCCCAGATCAACTTCTCTGAATGGTTGATGCTGTGCTAGGGTTGCCAACTTCCTGAAAAAAAGGGACACCTCATGTACACGCCAGCTGACCCAATTGCCTTTACCCCTCCTGGCGTGGTGATTTTTTTTAGCCCCCCTTTGTGTGTGAAATGATTTTTTTTAACTGTTTGACTCAAATATGTATTGAATTTGATGCATATATATATATATATTTATTATGCAAAGGTGCACAGCCCCCATAAGCAGTGTCAGCATTTAAAGTACTCCGTTCATTGCCCATATTGATCTGTTTTCTCCTGCTATCTTCTCTATGTGCAACATTCTGGATCGTTACATATATGTTGTCAGCTCATTGGTCACAACACAGGACAGGGCTCGGGAACAAGTTTCCTGTAAGTTTTGTATCTAACGTGCCCTTGTTCTTCATTTCCATTGGCTTTTTACTTACAATTTTTTTACTCTTACAGTAACATGGGACAAATTGCGTTCCTTTTCCACTAAATACGGGAAAGGTACTTCTATTTCTTCATACGGAACTGTTCCGTTTTTCAAGGAACGGTTGGCAACTCTATGTGGCATGTCAAACTTTTTAGACTTAGACTTTTCCAGAGGGCAGCAGGGAGAACAGTCCATAGTGGGGGTGTGAGGGGTCTTTGATGATATTACGGGCTCGGGACACGCAGCGCTGTGATGAAATGTCTTTAATGGAGGGAAGAGGAGCCCCAATGATTCCTTCTGCTGTCCTCACCACCCTCCTCACATTCTTCCAGTCAGAGGCTCTGCAGCCTCCACACCACAGAGAGAGACAGCTGGTCAGAACGCTCTCTATGGTGCTTCTGTAGAAGGTTGTGAGGATGGGCAGGGGCAGGCGGGCTCTCCTCATCCTCTGCAGAAAGTACAAGCGCTTCTGTGCCCTCTTCACTAGAGATGAAGTGTTTACAGTCCAGGTGAGGTCGTCCTTGATGTGCACCCCCAGGAACTTTGTGCTGCGGACCACCTCCACAGCTGAGCTGTTGATGAGCAGTGGAGCATGGTGGGGGCGGTTTTTCCTGAAGTCGACAATGATCTCCTTCGTCTTCTCCACGTTCAGGATCAGACTGTTTTCACTGCACCAGCCCACCAGCTGCTCCACCTCCTCTCTGTAGTCCCGGTCGTTGTCGTCCCTGATGAGGCCCACCACCGTTGTGTCGTCCGCAAACTTCACGATGTGATTGGTGGTGAACCTGGGGACGCAGTCATATGTCATCAGGGTGAACAGCAGGGGGCTCAGGACGCAGCCCTGAGGGGAGCCCGTGCTGAGGGTGATGACGTCAGAGGTGTTCTGACCGACCCGGACCGACTGAGGTCTGTTGGTGAGGAAGTCCAGCAGCCAGTTTCGAAGGGGTGTGTTGAAGCCCAGATGTTCCAGCTTTTCCACCAGGTGCTGTGGGATGATGGTGTTAAACGCTGAACTGAAGTCCAGGAACAGCATCCGCACGTGGGTGTTCTTCTCCTCCAGGTGGGCCAGGCTCAGGTGAAGAGCAGAGGAGATGGCGTCCTCAGTGGAGCGGTTTCGCCGGTAGGCAAACTGGAACGGGTCGAGTGTTGGGGGGAGACTGGAGACGATGTGTTCCTTTACCAGCCTTTCAAAGCACTTCATCATGATGGGAGTCAGTGCGACGGGCCGGTAGTCGTTGTAGCAGGTGACTTGAGGTTTCTTTGGCACTGGGATGATGGAGGCAGACTTGAAGCATGCTGGCACTGTGGCTTGCTCCAGCGAGTTTTCCAACTCTAAATTAAAGTGCATTTTACTGCATATGCTGCGGCCGGTCCAACTACCCCAGTCAAGCTCCAGTATCTAATATTTATTTAACACATGTGAAAGAAATCTAAAATAAAAACTTGTCAACCAAATGCAAACTAGAATCAGGTGATCACATTTAGACTTTCAAATCTACAGAAAAAGATTTTGTGTTTTTTAGACAATAATACGGGAAATATACGGTAAAATGCTAATATTGGAGGACAGTAGGGAAGATGGGTAAAATACGGTAGTTTCCTGGCCTAAAAGGGAGAATTGGCAGCCAAGATATTGCTTCTGCTGTAAGCAATGTTGTGCCAGTTTATAATTAAAAAGAACAAGCTCAAAGTTCAGTTCACACAGATGAAATTTAACTAGTTCACGTTCATAGTTTAAAGTTTTCAAAGAATTAACTAAGTTCACAAACCTATAAATTAACTAGTTCAAGTTCATTTGGTAAATTGAACCACAATCCCACACAATAAAACCTCATATTTCACCCTTTAAATATGTGATCATATAGATAGAAAGAAACAGAGAATATAGAAAGAGAAATACTCAAACCAGTCAAGGTATACTGGATGTGCAGTGAAGCCTTGATTTAGCTAAACTTCACAGAATTTCAGAAACATACAGGTACATTCAGGTTCTGCTGAAAAGATCTGTATCAAAATTATTTATATTATATTTCTCATTCAGTTGCAGATATTTCCCAATATAGCTCGGATGCTTTAACTTGATGTGTCGCTTTAAATTTGAAGTGGACGTGGCTGACGTACGGACTGGTTTTGCTAAGTCCCAGTGGGCAGTCTTCCTCTGTTAGTTCATAAAACTCAAGCAAAGCGCTCTGCAAAAATGGCATCAGAAACACCAGTAGAAGAGTCTGAAATGCACAGACTAGTATGCTGCTCTGTCATGCTGTTTGACAATAAAGTGTCATCATCAAACCAACACAAACATGAGCTGTGTGTGTCTCTGATCATTCTCAGAGTGAACGTAGCTCTCGTTACTTCAACACTGATCCGATCAGTTCACCTTGACTAAACATATGAACATATTCAGTGAACGCCGTTCATTGAACGTCATCAAGCACAACACTGGATTTCAGAGCAGATTCATGACTTTGTTAAAAGTTAGTTAATGATGATTTCACCCTTACCATTTTTTTTAACTTTAGGAGAACAGCTATTTGTCAACGTGAGGGTGGAGGTTGGTTTAGGACCCAAATGCAGAGATGAGGGAGGCAGAGGTGAGTTGTTGTAGGTTTAATGGAGTCAAAGGGCAATATAAACACAATCCAGAATCAAACCCAAAAACCCAGGAGTGGTCAGAAGAAAACACACATGGGGAGCCAAGTAACAACAAGGAACAAGCACTCAAGAACTGCACATGTAGAGTATATATGGGAGTCAGTACAAAGACTGGCGTAATCAGATGCTATGGAGCAGGTGTGGATAGAGGTGACTAGAAGGGAGCTAGGGGAAAGGAGACAGGCACAATGGGGCAACAGAGAGTAACTTAAGATGCTTAAATATAACACAAAATGAAAAATGAACCAAATATCAACAAAACAGAATTACTTAGAAACTGAAAACTGAAAACAAAGTCCAAAAGGGGAGAATCGTAAAACTATTAGCCTGAAGAGGCTTTGCTAGCGTTACTAGCCAAAGAAAACAGTTGAAGTTGGATTTCCTCAAACGTGAGGTTGGTTAAACATTCAAAGTGAAAAAAGTTGATATAAAACACAGAACAGCTCCACACGTTAGTAATTATCTACAGGTGCATAAACAGCCAGAAAGCTTAACTAAACCTGTATGCATCAAATGTTCAAAAAGTTTTCCTATAAGTATTTATTTTAACTTTTGAATAAATTCTGATTTCAATTTGCAGTTGGTTTCCAGCAATTCACCAGTACATTGTTGACAGCTTTTATATGTCTGGCCATAATGGACCGCAGTATCCAGTGGGATACAAAATAAACAAAAAAAAAATAAAAAACTTTAAATACCAGTAAATCAAAACAAAAAATCTATAAACAATCAAAGCAGACAAACACCTACAAATAAGCGACACAATTTGGAAATTCATTTTAAATAATTTACACAATTCATTTGAATGATTTAAAGTCCGTTACACATCTGTTCTGCTGAAAGGTGAACCTCTGCCAGGATCTCAGCTCTTTAGCAACTGCAGAGCATGATGTTTTACCCGCTGCACTCCTCAGGGGGTTAGAGCTGAAAGCAGGAGCGAAGGGCGTTGAGCGAGGCGCTGACATGTTCATGAGAGCATTGTCTATTAAAACAACGTGTCGCTATAATTTGGTTGCATTTGATGGCCGAGTAACATGGTTGTAAAGAAACACAGCTAACTAGTAGAAGTCCTCCATCTTGGTCTTGTTGGGCATGTACAAGGTCATCTTTGATTTGGGGTTTCTTGTTTTCTGCACCATCACCTTTGTCATGCTTTATTTTTGTCTCTCTTTAATGAAAGCCTTGAATCTGGCCTTTATCAAGGATTTGGACGTACATTTCACAGATCTGCAATTTCCCAATACTTCTATTTCTCCTTTGTCAAATGATGGATTGAACAGAGCTCTGTCAGATATTTGGAGCTTAGGCTATTGTTCTCCTCCCTATCCTGCCTTTAACTCTACCACTTTTTTGTAGTTATCTCTTCCTTCCACTTTGCTGTCATACACTGCTTTTTGCTGGTCTATTAAATGAAAAAATCAAATACATTTAAAGTTCTGTTTGTCATGATACAAAGGAGAGGAAAAAAAGTTAAAGAAGCCCTAAACTTAGAAAGGCGCCCAGATTAGATTGAGTTTCCCCCTCACAGCAGCTCTTAGGTGAAATGCATCTAAGTGCACGCCCAGATTAAAGGCCTGTTTGTCGCCCTCTGTCTCCCTGCAGACTCTTTGGGGTGACGGGGAACTGTGCAGCCTGCAGTAAGCTGATCCCTGCCTTTGAGATGGTGATGAGAGCCAGAGACAACGTCTACCATTTAGACTGCTTTGCCTGTCAGCTCTGCCGCCAGAGGTAAGATTAGGGGAGCAATTAGCCAGGGAGATCAAATTCAGTTGACTTATCTGGAAGGTGCACTGGTAGGAACACCATTAGTGCAGTGTAATCAGAACTTGATTAAAATCCACATAGAAAAAAAAAAGCTTGAAGGGTTAAATACTTTGTCTCAAACTTGAATAGTTAATAATTTTGTTTAATTTTCTGATTATGTCGATGTTTCAGCATAAGAGTACACCTGGAAAACTCCTGTGGTGTTCATTAGATGTCCAGCAAAGTGGGAGAAACCACTTCATACTTTTTTACTTCTCTTTGCAGATTCTGTGTGGGAGACAAGTTTTTCCTCAAGAACAACATGATCCTGTGCCAGCTGGACTACGAAGGAAGCCATCTCAATGGAAGCTCTGACAGACAGGCACAATAGAGGTAATATTCAGATAACCAGGGAACATGGTCTGATAGAGGGAATCACACCATGCATTGGAAATCTTAAATGCTATATTTCCAAGTGCATCCCAAACTTGACCACATTTAGACATCACCTCACAGCAGAGACTTCAGGTAATGAAAATAATCTGAGGCAAATTTTGAATCTATAGAACATTTAAATTGACTTGATATTTTAATACTATTGCACTGATTAAGATGCTTTCACATTGGGAAGCTCTGCTAGTTTGACTTTGATGTTCATTTTAAGAAAACTTTGGTTCCATCTTGTGTGCATCTTTTTTTTTTTTTTGCTTCTGGGTATTGGATGCTGTGAAAATTAAGTTTTTTTTCTCCTTTTAGGACATTTGTTATGATGCATTACCATAGCAACCATAGAAAGCGCGACTTTTACACTCAAAAGCAGCTCATTAACATCACTAAAGCCGAAGTAAATCCTTCCGCTAGCTGAGTTGAAAATGAGGCACTGAGGATGCAGAGAAATTAAAGCCATTTCTTCCTTTAATCATTATGGGCAATTCTTTCTAACCATTCAAGCTCATAGAGATATAAAAAAGGCTGGAAAACTCAATGGAGGTGGGTTGATAGGGCCTGTGAACAACACATGGTGACGTCCAGGACTTATTACTTTGAAAATGTGTCTTTACTGACCAGATAACTGTTGGCAATTATTATTATTATTATTTTTTTTTTCATATTATTTGCCTATCAACATCTACATTAGCTCTTTGAAAAATAGCACATTTGTTACTCCAATCTCAAATTTCTCCTTTGGGATTAATTAAGTTTTTATTTTATTTTAATTGACTTTAAAAGATAGAGATTACAACTTTTGACTTGTTTTTAGAAATAAACAAAAAACACATGTGATTGAGTCTAGTTTTTCCTTTAGTTATCTTTATTTTTTGATTTATTTTTTGCACAGATTAAAGCTTGGATTGTTTTGGGTAATGTCAACTGATGCCTTGCAGCTGAAGTCATAGAGGTTTGAATCTAGCCTTGGCCATATTAAGTCCCTGCTCTGGTTTACTGCGCATTAAAGATGGCGTCTGTATTTTGTACTGTTGGGTGTGACAGTAAAAAAGGTGACCGATATATTTCTTTTTACCGCTTACCAAAAGAGAATTAATGCAACAGAGATGATAGTCAGTGATCAAAATGGCTGACAGCCACTTTGTCTTGTATATATATATATATTTTTTTTCTTCAGAAAATTAAGTGATTAGATGACACTTATTAGACACCTTATGAAAGAAGTTCACTTGATATTAAGAGCTGAAGCTTTTGCTACAGACATTAGACTAAGATAGACTTAGACAGATTTATTTTGTCATTTTGTATACACAAGTGTAAACAAAAAGAAATTTCATTTAGAACAGATCTAGACAATTTCATATTTTAAAGTGCAGCCTTGAATACAGTAATAAATACATAAAAATAGTAATATAAACATATGACTCTAGATATATATACTATATATATATATTTATTTTTATTTTTAAAAAATGAATGTGAGAATTGTAAATATACAGTCATATGTTTATATTACTATTTTTTATGTATTTATTACTGCTTTCAAGGCTGCACTTTAAAATATGAAAATGTCTAGAGCTCTTTTAGACAAAAATTTTTTTGTTTACACTCGTGTATACAAAATGACAAAATAAATGTCTCTACGTCTTATTTATAA